ATGCTTAACATCAATGTTTTTTACTTCTTTAAGTGATTAAAAAAGCTAAAGAAATTGTCGAAGGTAACAGGCAGAAGGCTTTACTTAGAAGGTCCTCAAATAATTTTTGTTGGGCTAAAAGGTATAGAGTATTAGGTAAAAATCTAGAAGCAGCTAGGCCAGATAATATACCATAGAGTTATTAAAACTACTGAATTAGGAAAGTATGGACTTTCAGTGTGGCAGAAATTTGATTTTCATTGGTTTTGCGATAATTGATTTTCGTCTAATTCTAAAAAAATTTCTGCTAAAGACATTATTAATTGGTATATACATAGTTGGAATAAATGTGTTAAAATATTATCAAGTAAAAGTTTTTTAGTCAATACTGGCGTTAGAAAAATATTTTTTGTTTTAATTGAGTTTATCTATGTAATTATTTTCATTTAAATATATATTGATTAGAAATCGTTCTTCTGTTGTAAAGGTGTAGGTTTTAGATAAACTCTTATTTATTGAATAGGGGTTTTGCGACAGCATGCGGGTGAAAAATCTAAATTTCTTTATATTACACCGAATTTAGAGTAGTTCTTAATGCAGATTACTTATACTAGAGAAAGTAGGTTATTCTAAATTATGCAAATGCTATTTATTAACTTAAGTTCGTTTAAATCGTCTTAAAATTTACACACAGTTAAGGGTAAAATATTTTTCATCCTGTGCTTCCTGGGTTACTTGTTCATCAGATTCTGTCATTTCTTTAACTATTTCTTTATCTGTTAACTGCATTTAGATAGCCTTAGATGCATTTAGACAGCATTTAGATTGTCGTATAAAATCCACTCTTTTAAAGTTTCTCTTGATTCTGATGAACTAGTCATATCCTTGAAAATGTTTAAGGGTAGTATCTAGTACAACTTGCACAGGTTGGTTATTGGATTATTTGTTAATTTCTATTTGAAAGAGTGGGTTGTTGGGCCAAATATTCTTTCACGATTTAATCAGTGTAGTAAGGCTTGACTTGCTGAAAGGCAAGCGCAGCTTTGATAATCGCATCTTTGATGTTAAAGATTTTCAAAATTGAAGTGATGTCAGCATTAAGTTGATTTACAATATCCACAAGGAGTTGTTTCTTGTAGTGTGCCTTCAGAGTTTTAATAACGTTTTGATCCAATGACTGAATCAATGCAGTAGTATTTTTCGATATGTACATTGCCTTGATATATTCATAGGTAGTTTCGATTTTTAATTCGTCCTTATCAGGATGCCCTAGAACATTGTCTTACAAGAGGAAGGTTTTTACTAGCAGTTTCTTTTTTCTTAGCTCATCTTTAACTTGTGGGACAAAGCTGTTCTTGCACCAATGCAGAAAAACTTTTTTTGTCACCCACGCATGGCTTTGTCACATGTACTCAATTGGTAGGTTCTCAGTTTTAACATTTTTGAAGTCGCGAGGTTTTTTGGACTTAACCACGATTAGCAATTTCAATTTGTGGGATCCTGATGCATTCGCGCATACCATTAGAGTGAGACGTTCGTTCTGAAGTTTTTTAGCAAAAACTTTTTTTCGTCTGAAATGACAAATGTTGTTATTAGAAGTTACCGCCAGTTTAGACCGGTTTTATCAGTGTTAAGTTATTCAAGAATTAGGTATAATTCAGTGATGTTTTACTCAAATTCTGAATAAATTCACATATCTCAGAATCATCTGCATTCAACTTCTCTCCACTCATATGAAAAAATCGTATTCCGTACCATTTTTGATGGAAGGAGCTGAAATAGGAGCTAGTCTGCTTCATTTTTTATTGAACCAGATGTGTAGAGTTTCTTCAACATCCGGAAATTCACTTATTTTAAGTGTTTTTCTGTCCTTGGAATCATTCTCTACAGTTTTCATAAATTTTTCGATTTTGCCTTTTGTTTTTCATAATGTGTGTCACACACTGTAGCTCGTCCAATATCATAGAATCTAGATGACGCAGTCAGAGTTTCACCACACTCCCATCTCTTAATAATATCCAATTTATCTTTTAGAATCAGCGTTTGTGCTTTCGTTTTAAACTTGTTCTCTCCATTTAGCTGAACTTTCTAAACGAATCAAATAAAAGTTTGGCACAACATATTACTGTATCTAAAAACCCTCTCGAATCGAACTGCTCATGGAAAACACACGAAATGAAGCATTCGATAAGAATGAGATTCATGTCGCAACAGGTTTCAGTACAAGCAAATACGGCGGCGAACTTGGCGGGAGGTGCGTCGGACTATCGAGCGTGTCGGATTGCAAAACGTCAGAGTATCAAGGGTGTACTGTATATTCTGAAAACTGATAACTTAAAAAATCGATAGTAGTAGTAGTAGCGATAATGATACTATCTCAATTGAGTAAGATCTTCATCTTCGTTTCAGGGTTTAGACATTGATGTTCTTCTATAATGGCTTTTGTAACACTTTTATTCTATTGTTAGCAGATTTAAAAATAATTGTTCTCGCAATAATTTTTCCGATCGTTTTTTCTAAACAGAAACATCACTTCTGCCGCTTGTCACGTTTCAAATATTTTTTATTCCATCCAATATTGATTTACCTGATATAGCGATCAGTGTAGGACTTATCTTCATATATTTTCATGATTATTTGATTAGTTCTGTTGCTTTGCTATTCTTTGATATTATGATCGCTTCCAACATTTTTTGATTTTTTATGATAAATTCGATATAGATTTTGTTCTTTTACTTGCTCCTCTATACAACTGCTATAGATTCTCGCATTTTTGCATTAAATTCTATTCGTTAATGACTTTTAAGTAGGCGATATTTTTTCTATTTTATGTATTTATCATTTGGGAATTGCCTTCCATGTAAATTACCTTCATTCCCAGTTTCCCTGTATATTTATTTGCTTTTCTCTGTCTTGAGAACGATATATTTTGAAAATATATATAATCAATAGATCAACATAAAGTTGTAGCTTGTCGAAGTTATAGCTTTTAATTTCCTGCGACGAAGCCTATAAAAATTGTATGCATGCTGTTTTACCATTCGATATAGAAATTTGGCTGCAATTCGATATACTGTGTCGTAATTTCGACACAGTATATTATATCGATACACCTTATACTTCAAACTGTTAATCATATTTTTGGCGCTGCTCTCCCCTACGCGTAGAAAACCGATCGAAGTTGTTCAAGTTTACGGTGGATCGTCGACTAAGACTCTGCAACCGAGTACACTGCAGTCAGTAATGTGAGTTGCATACGCTGAAGGATCAGAATGTTATTTTTACGTTTGTTTAAGAGTCCAGGTCAGGAGCTTAAGTATTGATTTTAGCCATTTGCAAATTCATGCGTACTCATTTCGAACTGCTTTATGCTTCTCCGTCTAGTGTTTTCATTTAAATATGTAGTATGGATTTAAATAATTTCTATTTTTGCATGTATGTCAAAGACGCTGCAGAAAACTCATTCAGATAAAGAATAGCTCATGGAAATCACTTTAATAAAATAGCGAGGTGAATGTAGACACGAATTCGGTTTTTCTAATTCATGCTTACCTCATTTTTACGAATTTCTTCATTATTTATATATCATAACAAGCTTTATTAGTTAGTTAAATAAACTAGAATGTTTTGTTCGCTTGCAGTGTGTTGATGTTCATTTTGGTCATTTTGGCGTAATTAATTTTGATCAATGAATATTTTAGACATTTCCGATGAATTTTACGTTTAAGGGCGGATCAGATATTAACTCTAATAACCTTTCTAATAAGCTTTTTATTGATTTTTAATAACAATTAATAAAATATAGGTACTTTTTCTATAAAGTCTTTCATCGTCAAAGCTTGCTCTTTTTAGTGCACCTTTTAATACTTCTTCTTCTTCTGCTTTAGCCTTAAGTAATCCAACTTTGGACATAGGCCTCCCCCAAATCAATCCAGTGTTTTCTCTTTTGCGCCACTTCTGCAAATGGGGTGAGACTTATAGACAAAAAAAAACAAACAAATGTATTAGAAGCAAAACCAAAGTAAAAGACGCAGGAGAACATGCTTCCAAATTAAAATGGAGCTCCGCAGGACGATTGAAGGATAACGAAATACAACAATGGAGACCATGGTTAGGAAAGAGAAGCAGAGGAAGACCACAAATTAGATGGGCTGATGAGATTAAGAAGATCTAAGGACACAACTGAAAGCAAGTGGCGCAAATAGAAAACACTGGATTGATTTGAGGAGGCCTATGTCCAAAGTTGGATTACTTAAGGCTGAAGGAGAAAAAGAACATTTTTTATTTACTCTTTAATTGCTGTTTTAACTGTCTTTGTTAGGTATGTAACATTATTGCAGAAATTTCATGCTAAATAATTCATTAATCTTCTTTCACTAGCATCGGAATCCTCCTCCTCCTAAGCGCCTTCTCTGTTGAGGTTGGCGATCAATATGGCAAATTTCTCTCTGTTCTGGGCTTGATGAATTAATTCATTTCCTCTTGTGTGGGTCCAATCTTGGACTTGGAATCCATTCTATCGAATTTTCTGGAGATTAACTATCTTCTTCTTACGGTGCCTTATCCTTAAGGACGTTTGCCATTACATTTGCCCATTTAATCTTATTTGTAGCAGCCCTGAATAGTTCTATGGAGGTCATGTTCATCCATTGCCGTAGGTTTTTAAGCCAAGAGTTGCGTCTTCTTCCTGTTCCTCTTTTGCTATCAACTTTGCTATAAGTTGGAGCAGTTCATACTTTTGATTTCTTATGATGTGACCAAAATATTGTGTTTTCCGTTCTTTTATTATAAGCATAAGCTCTCTTTCCTCATTCATCCCCCGCAAGACTTCCGCATTTGTCGTATGGCTCATGTAGGATATTCTGAGCATTTTACGGTAGCACCAGAGTTCGAATGCTTGGATTCGAAATTAAGAAAAAAAGACCTCGTAACTAGACCACATAATATATTAACTATATGTTTTTTAATCTTGCAACTTTTAGCCTTTTGTTGTTAATTAATCTATGATTTATTTGTTTCAGATAAGAAAAATGCAACTTTACATTCATCTCCAACGACAGATCCGAAAACAAGGAGAACTATATTTTCTTCGAAGGATAAAAAACCTTCAACTATCAAAGGTAAGTCGTAAAAATCTTTTATAGAGATATAGTCTGTAAAAATTCTTGCGTGAGTTGTCTCGCATTTTCAGGTAATATAATGTTAGAAATTAAATGGAAAAAGATAATTATTGAGACTATTTATAAAACTAAAAACTCAAGTACGAGAGTGATCTTATTTTGTAGTGTGAACATTAATAATGGTAAATACGTAAATAAGCATCACAAAAGTAAAGTAAAGTTAAACAAATCACCATGACGGAAAGGAGCCAAGAAGAAAGCCGAGAGAAAGTCTGAAAATAAAAAGAGAAAAATATAATACTAATGATTTTGACAAGTTAAATTAGTATTAAAAAATCCTGTTGAATAAAGAAAAACTGATTGGCATAAAGTTGAAAAACATGAGGATGGAATTCTAAGAAAACTATTTAAGTCCAAGTTTACCGTGAAACTTAATAATACTATACTCTGTTTTTTAACCAGGAGGAGTAAACCAAAAAGACAGATTCACACTCAAGAAAGTTACTAGAAGAGTCACTAAATACATCTTCTTTTTTTGTTGATTATCTCGGCCTTGCGGTAATCGAGTAATCAATATTGGACAACCTCACACGTCAATTTTAACCTAACTTCGTTTATTTATGTTTGAATTTTGAATAATAAAATAATTTTTTTCAATTCACTTCCAATATATATTACAATTATTACAATAAACAAAGGACGCTTTTCACATTTGGTCCCATGTATATATATTTAAATATCGGGTGATCCAGTTTTATAGATCTCTTAAGTCTATGGTATTTCATTATAATTTAGAGAATATTTTGATCGGGAGAGTCAATAATATTACAGATCTAAGTATGGTTTTTCTCAGAAATTTGTCTTTTAATAGTAGACCATATTCTTATTCTGGTATAATCAATTTCTTGAATCTAGTTTTTTTTTCTTACCAGATACTCTGTATAAATAAGTGTGTACTTACAATTTCTTTAATGCTGGATTCTTGTTTAATTTTAAAGGTGAGTTTGTCCCATTTGTTATCAACAAATAAAATTTACTAAAAAATACTGGATTTCTGTGAGATAATCAACAATCCAATCTATTATGTTACAATCTGCATAATTTTGCAGTTTTCTTGTGATGATCTACAACCACGAAGAACAAAACCAACTGTATCATACAATCAAACTAAAACACAACATTACTTTACTAATGTTCTTTTATTGCGATGAAAACAAAATAGAAATGCTTGTTAACAAGTATATACTAAATTTAAAAGATAGTTGCCGTTTTTTCTTCTGATAATTAGATATAAATAACATACATTTATAAATTTATAAACACTTTAAACTATATTTAGTATAAATATCATCTAGAAAAATATCACATTAAATACTATTCGCATATCACCAAGTCCAAGTTATTACAAACAACTTAAACAGTCAGAAATCGATTTATATATTAGAGGAAAATAATAATAATAAATAAATTTCAAAAATGTCATTAGTGTCAATATGTCATAATTTAGTGGAGTAAACTTGCCTGCGGCTGGACCAATTGCAAACAAGCATTACGGCGCGGAAAATTTGAATTACTCCTCCTGGTTGAAAAACAGACCATAAGACATATTTAGGATGGAATACTAAGACATTTAGGATGGTATGAAGGGAACGACGATTGAGAAAAGGAAGATCTCGTAACTAGGCCACATAATAAGAAATGACAAATATAACATGCTACGAATAATAATTGAAAGGAAAATAGAGGGCCGAAGAGGAGTAGGCAAAAAAGCCACGTCATGGCTTTTCAATATCAGAGCGTGGATGCGCATAAACGTTAAACAGTTATTAAAAGTGGAGCAGAATAGAGACAATTTTGATGTAGTGATGGCAAGCTTCCTATAACGACGTGCACTGGTAGAAGAAGAAGATTACTGAAGAAGGTTGACATCACTGTAATTTAGTTTATAGATAATCTTCACTGTTCAATAAAAAAATATAAAACTGGTACAACCTGAATTATCCAAACGCTTGTGTGCCTTGTAGGAAAGGATACAATTTTTACCAACTAGTTAGATGATGGGATATCGAAAGCGTTGAATCCTCATCGGCTAATCCATTATAATTCACCATAAAAACCCATAGGACCGAACAAACGGGATATTCCACAAAAAGGCATTTATATGAGATGGTCAACCATCACACAGCAAACCGGTGTGTGATCCATAAGGACCATCAGGCCAATAAACATAGTTCCAGAAATAACTAAGGTTTTAGCGAGAGTCTTTTGGAGACCAACACAAAATATTCGTCCTTATTGCTGGACGACAAAAAAAAGAAATGAAATGACGTTCAGCGGGGGGTCACCATCGCTCGGTTTTGGTGAGGCCAAAATCGGAACTACTATGAACTGCAGTTGGATTCTTGGGAGGTAATTTAGTAGTTTCCGTACTTGGTGGATAGGTGACGGAATTAATAAAAAATTTAATATTTATTAGTAATTATTTTTAAATGAATTTTTGAAACTTTGCTTAGCTCAATATTTATACTTTGCCAAGTAACAGGTTTTTATAAAAAAACAGATAATTACAGAATAAATCGCATTTTTCTAACTAGATAAATGTAAACAAAATAAATACTTTGTTTTTATAAAACTATAAATTATTTCAAATTAAAAACTCGTAAGTTGACTTAATATCAATCAATGTGTTCAGCATAAATTTCCATAAACTACTTTCATCAATCTTTTTTTACGACATACATTTATATAATATATTGATTAAACATACCTTCTGGCTTATTATAAAATTCAGATTGAAGAAATTCGTACTTACTTTGTAGGTACATGTCATATACTGTATTTCGCACTGCCATCTTAATCCCGCAGATAGATCGGTTGTCTTGTTTTTCAGACAAGGGATACTTTTGCCTGGCTTTGAAAGAATATGATTATTTCCTTTCTTTTTTTAATATTGTACATATTATCCATCGTAATATGTATATTTTAGCAGCTTCTCTCTTAAATAAAGAATTATTCAATGATATGAAATGTATTTTGATAAACGACCATACATTTTAATATGTTATCTGCTGAACATATTAAAATGGCTCCAAACGCCTTCCATTCCCTTTTTCTAATTCGAAATACTCTAAAACATTTAACACAAGTTGTTATGCTTGAGAATTAGATGGTTTACCAGGCAAATTCTAAAAATAAATACTTCCTAAAAATATTTCATATTGCTCTGTTGGCGTGGTTTAAGCTATATTTGTTAAACTGTTTGTTAAAGAATATGAATGTAAAGTACCGAAAAGGATTGAATATTTAAATGACACGAAAATAATTTATAAACACGCTACAGTTTGTATAAACTTACACTTTTTTATACACTCTTAAACTTACAATATTGCCAGTAGGTGAATTCACCGACTATCGTCCCATAGTTGCCTTTAGGTGAATCAATCACCGACTGTCGTCCCATAACTGTCTTTAGGTGAATCAATCACCGACTATCGTCCCATAGCTGTCTTTATTCGATGTATGCTGTTGTGTATAGACAATCGGCTTTTAGTTAATCGTTTTAGTTTCTTCAAGTAGGAAAGAGTGGTAATATAAAAAATAATTCGCGAATAAAGTCACACTTATGCAAATATTCAGCGGATGAACTGTATAAAACTCTTGTGTAGCACTTTGCGGTTTACATATTATGTTTCGTTTTATAGTTTGGTAATCACCAAGTGTTACAAACGTTTCATAAATTTCATTGAAACGTGTAACCATAATCTGAATATTTAATTATAACCTGTCTTTGTCGAAAAAGTGACAAAAAGGAAATTATCTGAAATAAGAAAATTGCGTTGAGAATAAAACGTACTTTCTTTATGCATAACATTTTACTTACAAATACGTTTATAATAAAAAACATCATTTCGTTAATTATTTAATGAGAAAATGTATACATATATGACGTGTAATAGTTTCATTAATCAATTATTTAATTAAACATTTAACAATAACACCATTAGAATTTTAAAGGATATTAGATAATGGCTTATATATTATAGCAAACAATAATTGATACTTTCTCTCCAAACTTTTATAGGTGTTACAAGGAAAATTTGCAAGTTTTTGTATTTTATAAAAATACACAACAAATACTAACACTTGGATTTGTTGTAATTTTCTTTAATTGTTAAAGCTATTATAACGATTTATGTGAAAGTAAATTGGCGGTAAAACGCCCCACGGTAAGTATCGGCATTTCACCCACGCCAAATGTATGCACAAAATTGTTTTAAAAACTTGCAATTACAACAGTTAGAACTATTAAAAGAAAATAAGAAGTTCAAAATGTTATCAGGAAATCAAAAAACAAAAATAAAAAACTACAGCATACAAATATGCAGAGTATTTTGAGGACCTTAAAGGCGAGGAACAAATAAAAATATTAAAAACTCAATAACGAATACATGGAATTGTCTCGGCCTATTCTTATTTTTGATACTCTTTATTATATTCCTCTTTATATCTTCTTCAATAGATGCATTTTTTGTTGTCAGATTTTTGTATAAAAGAATTTTTGTTATCCAGTTTATTTTTTCCGTTTAATTGTTCCCTAAAATGTTTTCCATATATGCCCATAACAGCTTCTTTTTGCACGTTCTTCGATTATCTTTTTTCATGTGTGTATTAAAATGCTGATATCCTTTTTCAGTCTTTTTAACTTGTGAGTGCTAGAAACGTATTTCTCTTTCTGTCGTTTACGTATCCTTATCATTTTTTGTCTTTGATTTCTTTAACGTTAGTTCAGGATATCATTGTTGTTTGTTCGTGACAAATGTCTTATGCTTGATTCATTTCTTGTCATCAATACTCCTACTCTTATTAATTTTTTGTTTTTTTTTTCTAATTTTCCTTTCCCTTTGTTCCACTTTCATATATCTCTTTCTATAGATATATACTGAAGCCCCTATTTACTGTCTTTTCTGAAGAAACTGACAGGTTAAACTTGGAGTGCACATCCACATGTCCTTCGTACCTTACCGCTTACACTAAGTTTCTCAGCAGCCGAGTACGCAGCTCTAGTCTCGGAACTCTTTAACACACGCCTCGCAGGTGGACACTGAATTCTTTAGATCTATCCTAGTCCCTAAAATCTACTCTAGCGCAGGAATAGCTTTACCTAAGAACAGAAGAGCAAAAGTTGAAGAGTCCGAGAGAGACAAGCAAGTCGATGACCATCGTCACCCTTGCATTATC